AAAACGCAAAACGCAGCTGCAGCGTTTCTAAACTTCTCCGTTTTAGGTCTTCGTTTTTCCCGTTTTAGTGTGGACGGGAGGTGCAAACGTAGCAAAAGGTCTCCGTTTTTAAACGAAAACGCAGTAGTGTGGACGGGGCCTCAGTGACAGCATTGAATGCCGCTTTATGAAGCCTGTAAACCACTCTTTCTGGCCTTTTTCTTCAGCTGGTGTGCCACAGCAAACTGGTACGCAAGCTCTCTGACCTCACTTGGCATCAAACCAAAATAAATGTCAGCTGACCAGATAATATACTAAGCAAGCTGCTTTTCCAAATCAGGTGATAAAATATTCCTTGGCTTTGTATAACCAACCATTGTTGTTGGCATGGCTGTCTGACTTTCAATTTCTTCTCTGGTAATCTTTCATGGCTGACTGCCTTTAACATTATGTCAGGTACTGCCATGCTCTGTGTTTCGTTGATTCCTTCCTTCCATCCTTCAAAAACCTTTTTGCAATTACAAATAAATTAGCCTACAATATCACATTTTTTTTGAGCATGTTCTGTGTTTATTTGTACAGGGGCAAGTTGTCACATGACGACTTGCCCCCAACTGACATGTGTTAATGTTGGCTAAATCTCAAGGTAAGGTCCACATACCACTTTAGCCAACGAATCAAAAGACTTGTTATTGTCTCCTCTATTTTGTGCAAAACAATTATTTTTTAACATTCATTACCTAACAAGTCTGTATTGGATAAAATGTAAAGTGCACTTTTTTCTTTCTTTTTTTTTTTTTTTTTACTTTTTAAGCAGAAAAATAAGAAAAATGTGCTAACCTCAGATTAGAGGGATCTTGAACACAGGTAAACAGGAAGTTGACTAAAGAAGAAGGTCACACAGAGTGGCTATTTGATTTTTGAGATTAGAGCCTGTAGTGTTGGAGTTATGAACAGTGTGACAACTTACCCCCCCCCCCCCCCCCCCCACCCCCCACCCCAAACACAAACACAGGCATAAACAGAAGATAACGCTTATTAGGTGCTTTACCGTCACCTACTGAACTGGAGTGTGGATCAGAAGAATGTAGGGGAAAAGAGCGAAAAAAATGGAAATAATAATAAATGTATAATTAGCAAAATCCTCTATACTCGCTCCATCAGACCTGTTTCTTTCAAAACTGTCATTAACTGTATGTATTTTCCTCAATGCTGTTCCAAGAATGTTTAGTTTTAATTTTTCAAGTACTTCTTGTAATTCCCTCCTTTCATTTTCATTACAATCATCATCACATGTTGGACAGATTCTGATTGATTGCAATATAAACACACTCCATTTATATGTCTACCTAATAGATGAGGTGTCTTGTTGAGCCCTGTATGTCATCCTTTCTTCACTTTGATTTTATCTCCCTTTTCATGCCAAAAGAGCTTTGAATACTATACAAATGTCTTCCTGTATCATTGATATCCCAAAATGTGATCTTTTAAATGTCTCAGTTTTACTTAATGCAACCTGCATATCAGCTGTTGGTGATTTAAAGGATTGTTTAGCCAACATATCCACGTCTTTATTTTCTTTCACACAAACATCTGCAGGAACCCAAACAAACCATACACTCACACCTTTATTTTGTAATCTGTTTATTATTTGATATATTTCAATTAGCATTTTAGGCCTGAATAATTTCCCTGATTTTATACTTGTGAGTGCCAAACTATCAGATGCAACTGAAACATGTTGTGTGTTATATTCATCTACCCACTGTAATCCCAATATAATGGCTGCCAGTTCTCCTGTATAAACTGAAAGATTATCTGTTGTTCTTTTCTTGATGCATTTTCCACATTGTGGGATGCACACTGCAGCACCTGTATGTCCTTTTCTTTGAACCATCTGTGAAATCGTTATTTTATTAGGTATTAGCTTTGAATTATCTTTTATTTCCTCATGCATTTGTAAATCAGTCATTGGCATAACTCTAAAAAATGAGTTATAATTAACCCATCTTTGGGTCAGCCATTGGGTTAAATGTTTAACCCAATTACATTTTAACCCAACATTTGGGTTTGTCCATATTTGACCCAAATTTTGATTAAAACAACCCAGCATTTTTTAGAGTGAAGGAGGGATAAAAATATGACAGTAGGACAATATTGTATACTATTCAAATACATTTCTCTTGCTTTTTTTATTCACAACCCATCCAAAACTCCTCAAATGAGATTTATTATGTTCCCAACACTCCTGTGTAGTCTTTGCAGGAAGGGATTCATTATGTTCTTGCAGGTTTACACAATATGTTAGCATTAGTTTAAGTCTTCTGATACCCAACGGCATCATTCTGACAAGCAACGCAATATATTCAGAATTTTCTTGCATTTTGTTTTCATTTTATCAATGTGTTGTCTGTAAGCTTTCCATCAAATAAAACTCCAAGAAATCGAATCACCATAACTTGCTCAAGTTCTTCATAAATCCCATGTATTCTAGATGTCGACCCCTAATCCAAAGGGCCCTATCATTCACAGCATGATTTTCCTATACCATGTTCAACTTGTTCAAAAATATAATTTGTCCTTATATTAAATATCAGTGGACTACATACACTACCTGCAGTGTTCTGTTTTCTACAAAGTGCATTCTAGAATACTCCTTACCCACCTTTATTTCTATTGTTCTACCAACCAAGAAGTCTAATACCCAATTGTAGTCTACCCCCTATAACCAATTCATTTTGTTTTGTGAGGATTACTTCTTTCCACAGCATATCATCATGTCTTTTAGATATCAAAAAAGAAAGACAGCTATAATTTCTTTATTTGTCAAGCCTTTCCTAATCTCTGATAGACATAATTGCATCCATAGAATTTCACTTTTGTGAAATAAATTACACAAATTGCAGAATGAAACAAAGGTTAGGGTTGTGATTAAATCACACGTGGTCTAACTATATTTTGGGGGAGGGGTGTGAGTCAAGTGACGCGGTGCTGGTTTCTGTCAGGTCCTGTAAGCACATATAAAAGACTTCCTTGTAATACAATCACTACTCATTTGTATCCTTTCGTTCGTTGATTGAAGCGCTCAGTGTTAAACATGTCTGGAAGAGGCAAAGGCGGTAAGGGACTCGGGAAAGGAGGCGCCAAGCGTCACCGTAAAGTTTTGCGCGATAACATCCAGGGAATCACCAAACCCGCCATTCGTCGTCTGGCTCGCCGCGGCGGCGTCAAGCGCATCTCCGGTCTGATCTACGAGGAGACCCGCGGAGTGTTGAAGGTGTTTCTGGAGAACGTGATCCGCGATGCCGTCACCTACACCGAGCACGCCAAGAGAAAGACCGTCACCGCCATGGATGTTGTGTACGCGCTGAAGAGACAGGGACGCACCCTGTACGGCTTCGGGGGATAAACGCCTGAAACCAGGACAAACCACACAAACCCAAAGGCTCTTTTAAGAGCCACACACTCTGACACATAAAGAGTCAATGTTTCATGTCAAATCAAAGAACTTAAGTTTCAGAAGTTCTGTGTTCTCAATCAAGATTAGATTACATCTCATTTAAGAACTCGTAAATGTTTCACAGTAATGGATCGAGAATACCTTTCTACTTTTAATATAATTTAAACCGTTTTTTTAAACGTTAATCTTTTCCACATAATCAACAAGAAAAACAAGTAATAGGATAAAATGGTATCAGCCGAAATATGATTGCAGATATATATATTTCTGCGTTTAAACATCTAACCAATGACGTTTTTAAAGTGTATCTGACTGACCATTATTGGTCTGTTTTCTCCAAAACTCGCTCAATGGGTTTATTAGAAGTTTTACAATTACACGATCATGCACAATATTAGAACCGCTTGTTTTCCTCAAAAATTACTTAAATTCCTTAAAAAATATTACTAAATAAAAAGAGCGGGAAGCGAAACAAATGAAACTTGGCGGAAGTGTGTAGTTCAAACATGAGACGGTGGGCGGAACTATATCTTATCTCTCTCATCCAACACCTCATCTATGAAAGGACCCGCCATGGTTAAGTTTGGAAACAAGTTCAGCTCCCTATTTATATACTTCATTAATTACCAAACTCATTAAACAAACTCACCAATTAAATACACAAGTTTTTAACATTTCTTAGCGCATTTATACCTAATAATTTCTTACATTTATTAGTAAAGTACATTTCCTTATTCATTTAAAAAAAAAATGCATTAATAGTGGTTAAGTAAAATAAAATGACATCGAAATACCAGCAGGTGAGTATAAATTGTATGCTCGTTAAGCCTGAACTCAGACTTAGCCTGCCCCGGACCAGGCTAGTTTCCCAGCATAAGTTTCCAGGGTAACTGAGTTTGAACTATTTTAAGTTTGCTTTATGAAACAGAATTCACCGACAATAAGTTTGACTAACCAAAATAAGCCTGAATTATTTTCTAATCTTGTTTTATGGAACAACCCTCTGGTGACAGAAAAGTCACTTCATCTTTAGGTTTTAGCTCTGAGAAGTTTAATGTCGTTAAAAAACAATAAATAAAACACAAATAAGCATAATTTACATAGAATATCTGGTACTTTTTCAATGAAATAAATAAAAAAATACCGCCAAAAAAAAAACACGATAAATGGATAGACAAAACTTAAAATAAAAAGTTAAAATAAAACTTAAAAACTAAAAATTAGGATCACACCTTAGTCCTCTGTGCCCACATTTGTCCAAAATTACAGGATTAAGGGCTATAAAGTGAATACGGTTTGGGGGCTACAACGTTATAAACATTTGTTTTGTTCTAATTTCATCAGCCATGCGTGCAGATACAAGTTAAATGCAAAAACTTTATTTCCATGTATTTACTATTTATGTTTGAGTAAAATTACCCTTTTGTAAACTACTACCAACTTGTTTTCCCCAATTTTGAAGTAAAAACATTGTTTTACTTCCATATAAAAGACAATATTTTTACTTGATATATTGGAAGAAAAGTTGGTAGTAGTTTATAAAAGGGTTATTTTACTCATACATGAATAGTAAATACATGGAAATAAAAGTTTTTTGTATTTAACGTGTATCTGCACACATGGCTGATGAAATTAGAAAAACAAAGGTAAAGGTAAAACAGTTGAGTGACTTTCATATGTAAGGAACAGCTCGCGGTTTGGTGTCTGATGAGATTTACACAAGATATAAAATACCGACAGTAGTTTAGGCCATTTATATAGAGCAAGGAAGAAAAGGATAAACGTGTTTTTAAAATATACGACAGACTGAAAGGGGTGGATTAGGATTATAAAACGAGCTCAGCCTAAATCTCCTCAGAAACCCAAATTAGTGTGTTATATCAACGCACTCAAAGTTCTCATAGAATTAAAAGCATTAGATAACAAACAAAAGCTCTTTATCTGAGAAGATGTGTGGCTCTTAAAAGAGCCTTTGGGGTAGTTGAAGTCGGGCACGCCTCACTTCGAGCTGGTGTATTTGGTGACGGCCTTTGTGCCCTCGGACACGGCGTGTTTGGCCAGCTCACCGGGCAGCAACAGACGCACGGCGGTCTGGATCTCTCTGGAAGTGATGGTGGAGCGCTTGTTGTAGTGCGCAAGGCGAGACGACTCACCGGCGATGCGCTCGAAGATGTCGTTGACGAAAGAGTTCATGATGCCCATCGCCTTGGAGGAGATGCCGGTGTCAGGGTGGACCTGCTTCAGGACTTTGTAGACATAGATGGCGTAGCTCTCCTTCCTGGACTTTCTGCGCTTCTTTCCTCCCTTACCGGCGGTCTTGGTGACGGCCTTTTTGGATCCCTTCTTAGGAGCGGACTTTGCTGGTTCAGGCATGATGATGCGATATCACAAGACTGACGAGATAATGTAAGCAACAGTGCGATACAGAGGCATTTATTCACTGCTCTATGCTAATTTTCAAAGTGTTAGGGAGTTATCTGATTGTCTGTTTTCATAGACCAAACCCACAAACTCACATTTCATTGGGCAGCTTGAAAGGAACGCGGGCCAATCACAGGTGTGGATAGGATATAGTTCCGCCCACCGTCTCATGTTTGAACTACACACTTCCGCCAAGTTTCATTTGTTTGGTTTCCCGCTCTTTTTATTTAGTAATAATTTTTGAGGAAAATAAGCGGTTCTAATATTGTGCATGATCGTATAATTTTACAACTTGTAATAAACCTATTGAGCGAGTTTTCGAGATAACAGACCAATAATGGTCAAATACACTTTAAAAAAGTCATTGGTTAGATGTTTAAAAACAGATATATCTTCGTTTCTGCATTCTCATTTGCTAGCTGGTACTATTTTATCTTGTTTTTCTTGTTGATTTTGTGGAAAGGATTAACGTTTACAACAAAACGGCTTAAATGGGTGAATTGTATCAAAAGTATCGATATTCTCGATCCATTACTGTAAAACATTTACGAGTTCTTAAATGAAATGTAACCGTAATTGAAAAAACCAAAACTCCTGAAACTTAAGTTCTTTGATTTGACATGAAACATTGACTCTTTATGTGTCAGAGTGTGTGGCTCTTAAAAGAGCCTTTGGGTTTGTGTGGTTTGTCCTGGTTTCAGGCGTTTATCCCCCGAAGCCGTACAGGGTGCGTCCCTGTCTCTTCAGCGCGTACACAACATCCATGGCGGTGACGGTCTTTCTCTTGGCGTGCTCGGTGTAGGTGACGGCATCGCGGATCACGTTCTCCAGAAACACCTTCAACACCCCGCGGGTCTCCTCGTAGATCAGACCGGAGATGCGCTTGACGCCGCCGCGGCGAGCCAGACGACGAATGGCGGGTTTCGTGATTCCCTGGATGTTATCGCGCAAAACTTTACGATGACGCTTTGCGCCTCCTTTCCCGAGTCCCTTACCGCCTTTGCCTCTTCCAGACATGATTAACACTGAACGTTACAATCGACGAACGAAAGGCCACTGATGTGTATTATGTGTGATACTAGGAAGTCTTTTACATGTGCTTACAGGACCTGACAGAAACCAGCTCTGCGTCACATGACACACACACCTCCCCCAAAATATAGTTAGAGCACATGTAATTTAACCCTAACCTTTGTTTCATTTTGCAATTTGTGCAATTTATTTCACTGAAACTGATTCTTAAAAAATATAAAAAAAAATCTCAAGCCCTAAGAATATGTAGTGGGGTTTTAAAACATCTCCAGTTGCGGCAGATGCCGTTGGGTATCAGAAGACTTACACTAATACTAGCATATTGGGTAAACCTGCAAGAACATACATTTCTGCAAAGACTACACAGGAGTGTTGGGAACATAGTAAATCTTATTTTAGAAGTTTTGGATGGGTTGTGAATAAAAAAGCAAGATAAATGTGTTTGAATAGTATACGAAATTGTCCTACTGTCAGATATTCAAATATCTCTCCTTGGATGTTTATACTGCCAATGATTGATTTACAAATGCATGAGGAAATAAAAGATAATTCAAAGCAAATACCTGTCTGGTTTGTTGTACAAAGATTGCCTGGCTGTGCCCTCCTACGCACTTCCGCTCAATTTCATGAAATGTACTAGAGTCTGGTTGAACCAGGCTAGTACAAAGATACTTAGAAAGTAATTTCCTAATAAAATAATGTTCACAGATGGTTCAAAGAAAAGGACATTCAGGTGCTGCAGTGTGCATCCCACAATGTGGAAAATAAATCAAGAAAAGAACAACAGATAATCTTTCAGTTTATACAGTAGAACTGGTAGCCATTATATTGGGATTACAGTGGGTAGATGAATATAACACACAACATGTTTGAAGATTAAAAATCTCTTAATTTAATGTTGTTTTAGTACTATTATTACTTTGTATTACTATTCATAATCAGAAGTATTATGTATCTGTTTCATTACATGTATACACACATAATCATTTGTAATCATTGCATTTTGTGAATTATAATGTTTTGAAGATGTGGGAGAGAGAGAGATTTTAGGAGACTTTGTGATAAGTTAGACTGTATGAGAGAATGTACAGATAATGTCCAAATAATATACAGATTGCATAATAAAGGTTTGAGCGTATGGTTTGTTTGGGTTCCTGCACATGTTTGTGCGAAAGAAAATGAAGAAGTGGAGATGCTTGCTAAACAATCCCTTAGATCATTAATAGTCGATTCGCAGGCTGCAATAAAGGGATAGTTCACTTTGAAATTAATATTTGGTATGTTTTATCTTACCTCATCTAAGATCCAAGATTTGTGTCTTTGTTTCCACAGTATTTTCAATTTTGATATTTTTCTGTCAAACCGTTGTTGTCTTTTAGACATATAATGCAGGTTTAGGGGGTCCTCCCTTGGTTCACCTCTTAAAAGCATGTACAGAGAAGTCCAAATTAAACATGATTTAAAGCAATAAAGTCCAGCAAGATAAAGTTGTTTTATGCGAAACAAAAGACCTTTATCTACAGATCAAATATAATAATAGTAACATTGAATCGTCTTAGAAATAGTTTAATCGTGTTGACTGTTGTACCAGAACTGCGGAAACTCTGAAGGAACATTTGGCGAATCATGCAAAATGAATGTACGCAAGTAGGGACGTGGTGAAACAAGTTTGTTGTGTTTCCACTTTTAGCATTAACAGTTTTCATGCATATTATTTGACAAAAATTGTGTTTTGTTGGAGATCTGACCTCCTGTACTCAAACCACTTTCATACTATTGAAGTAGCTCCCTTTTTAGGAACTAAATCTTGATCTGATCCGGAAGCTGACATGCTGCTGTGCTGTTGTGCGCGAGCTAAGTAACGTAAACGCCATACGTCATCATGCCACTATATCATCAATATCGCGTCCTCGCACAGCTATATCATCTATATCGTGATATGACACTTTTTATGTAAAATTTTATACCGGTATTATCGTGGACGGTATGATATGGCACAGCCCTAATTGGGCCCATAGCAGTTTTGCCCATTTGGGCCCGCATGAGGGTTTACTGTGGGCAACCCACTGTGGGTTTGCCCACAGAAAACCCACACGGGGCCCCAGGAAGTTAGCCAATGCAAAGTTAAGTTGTTTAACAGTCAAATGTTTTAAGATTAGAAGGTTTAAGATTAGCTTAATCAAACTATTTAACGATCCTGTGAAATGTCAGTGCATAATTAAAACTGCATATAATGGATTATGAGCACGTGCATTTAAAAACAAATTTTTGACTTATAAAGAATTGTAAAAAATAATATAGATGTAACTATATATATGTAAGATGTAACTATATATGTATGTATGTAACTATATATATATATACATAAGATGTAACTATATATTGTAATGCAGTAGGTCTTAATGAGTGTTTATAAATATATTTATAGAATAGTAATATTGCTTATAAATAAGTAAAAATGGTGCTATAATTCATTATAAGCATGGACTGCACAGAAAGTGTTACTGTATTTATTGAATAAAATTAACTTATTTGTCACAATAAAAACAATGCAATGGTTTACTGATTTGTTTTGATATTCATCAGCGATGTATATTTATCATAATAAAATCATATATTATTGATACTAATAAATACATCACTGATGTAACGACTGAGACCAATCAGATAAACGAAACTGCGACGTCACTGGGCGTAATTTCATTACCAACTTTCATTTATATTAGCATTTTAGTGCTTTCATATTCTCTTTTAATGAAAAAAAAAATAGTAATACATGGGTCATAGAACTACACAATTTTTAAATTCATGATATAAAATGCATACTTCAAATTGTCACATAATTCTATTTGTTTGAAGGCCTTTTGAACTGTTATGGTTTCAACGCGCGTGCGCGTAAACATTGAGTCTCATTCAAAGTTGTCCGATTTAAAGACAGCATACTGTTTGTAAATAATAATAGAGAAAAGCGCTCGTAGACAGATAAAATAGGTGGCTCTTAAAAGAGCCTTTGTTTCAGTAAAAGACTCTGTGATCCCTTTACTTAGATTTGGCGGGTTTCTCGGTCTTCTTGGGCAACAGCACGGCCTGGATGTTGGGCAGCACGCCGCCCTGAGCGATGGTCACTCCGCCCAGAAGTTTGTTGAGCTCCTCGTCATTACGCACCGCCAGCTGCAGGTGACGGGGGATGATGCGGGTCTTCTTGTTGTCCCGAGCGGCGTTTCCGGCCAGCTCCAGGATCTCAGCGGTGAGGTACTCGAGTACCGCCGCCAGATAAACAGGAGCTCCGGCACCGACGCGCTCACCGTAGTTTCCCTTGCGGAGGAGCCTGTGGACACGGCCGACGGGGAACTGCAGTCCCGCCCTGGAGGAGCGAGTCTTAGCCTTTGCTCGGGCTTTACCGCCGATTTTGCCTCTTCCACTCATTATCAGCTATTTATCAAAGTATTAAGTAATAAACAATGATGGTAGTGTGAGTCTCCACACACTGTCTTTAAAGGAGAGTGCCACTCGCCCATTGGTTTAGAGTCTGTAAATATTCAAACCAATCACTGAACTTCCCCCTGAAAGTCCAACCCCGCCCAAAATTGCTGCACTTTTCACACACACACACACACACACACACACACACACACACACACACACACACAGTCTGTCTGATATTGCTCAGTATTATGTTCCTATTGTAATCTAATCAGAGCCCATATCGTTGAATGTGGGTTGTTTGTATTGTCACAATTCTCCAGCAGTGTGTGTATGTTCTTTTGATACTTATTTAACGTGATCACTGTCTGAACCGTCTTGACTTTTCTTTCTTTTGCCATTTACAATACATTTCTTATATCGATAATGGATAACATTACTTTGTTGTCTTCTTGAAAACTGTTTTGACTTGTTTGTTCAGAATGAATGAGCCCAAGAGATAAATATAACACTTACTTCCACATCATTGATATGAACAAGTTTTGCTCTTATTCAGAGTTAGTGGCTGGCTCTTAAAAGAGCCGTTGAGGAACAAACACTGGAATTTATTTCTTTTTGGGCGCTGCCTTTTTAGGCTTGGCGGCTTTAGGTTTTGCAGCTTTAGGTTTAGCAGCCTTTGCCTTTTTAGGGCTCTTGGCTGCTTTCTTAGCGACTGCTGGCTTCTTTGCCTTCTTGGGGCTCTTCGTCGCCTTCTTAGCGGCCTTGACTGCGGGCTTCTTGGCCTTCTTGGGCGATTTCTTGGCGGCGGGCTTCTTTGCCGCTGCGCTCTTGGGCTTCTTGGCAGCGACGGGTTTCTTGGCCGCGGGCTTCTTCGCTTTAGGAGCCGCTTTCTTGACCGGTTTCTTCTTGGTCTCGGCTTGCTGCTTGTTGAGCTTGAATGAGCCCGAGGCGCCGGTTCCTTTGACCTGCTTCAGGGTGCCTTTAGTCACCAGGCTCTTGATGGCGATCTTGACGCGGGAGTTGTTCTTCTCCACGTCGTAGCCGCCGGCAGCGAGCGCTTTCTTCAGCGCGGCGAGGGACACGCCGCTCCTCTCCTTGGATGCGGACACCGCTTTGACGATGAGCTCGCCGACGCCTGGACCTGCTTTCTTGGCTTTCGCAGCGGACTTCTTCTTAGGCGCTTTGGCCGGGGCGGCAGCAGCGGGTGCGGGAGCAGTTTCTGCCATTTTTCCCTCTTTCTGGATCAACAGTTAGTCTTTCAATCTCTTGTCTCTGATTTCAGGAATGATTAGCGCTCTCTTGGCGCTGCGCCCTTAAATAACGCATGAGAACCTTATAGACTCAAACTGCCCGCTCGGCTTCTGTGCGCGCCAACAAGCCCTTCTCTCGTGTGTTTTCTTCTTTTACATTTGGTTAAAAACTGGACTGGTAAAATAGTTTTGCGCTGTAAAAAACAAACTGAACACCAAGCAGAGGTTCTGAGCTTTCACTGGATACTAAAATACCCAATGATGAAATGTTTATTTTGCCTTTGTCAGATCAAATCCTAGGCGAGCATCAGCCACGAGGAAAAGCAGCGTGTACATTTGATGGAAATTTTCAGTGCAAAGGTTGACAAAAGCCTGGCCCCGTCATCTGTGTGTTCAGAAAACAGTCTGATATAGATTTTTATGAAATCAGCATCAGCGAGGGGCGTGAGGAGGCTTTCATACAGATGTTTTTTGGGGCAGCTTGAAGCACACGAGCATCATCAGTCTCTCTATGAATCTCATGTCTGACCAGTAGATGATCTGTCCTTAAAATAATAACACTTTGTATTAATGTTAATAGTAATCCTTTCCATAAGATTACGTACATCATATCACTTAAATAAAATGTAATCAATATATCTGATCCTTATTCGTCATTTATCTCCGTTTCCATAATGTGAATGAGGATCGTGTAAAAGCTCAACTGAATGAGCCGCTCGCTCATTTAAAGCAAGGCAGAGCAAGTGACTCAAAAAAAAAAAAAAAACTGCTTTTCCCCCAGTTTCATATTTCCCCTGTTCTGTAGCTTGTACTTTTCTGGACAATGTTTGAAACGTTGGATTGCAAGGATTCCTTATGACATTTTCTCATTAAGATGAATCGCTTGTAGGCCTATTTCTCCAGGATATTTTCTTCATTTTTTTTATATTTTAGTATTTTCTCATCTGCTAAGTTAATGTGACAAAGAACAGGTCAAACAAGTTTGTTATATTTTGATTTAACCACCATTGAATGCTAATTCATAAAATAGTCATATAATTTGCACTACAGTATGTTTGATACATCTGCACAGATATTGGGGTTTTGGTAAGGCGAGCGACTAAGTGATATAATCGTTCAGTTTATGTTACAAGCATGAAAATTGGCATGAGCAGTCTGCATGGGTCACTTGACAAGAAAATTGTCAGAGCCACTTGAAATTTCAATATGGCCGACACTTCAGTGGAGCAGTAAAGTGATATAGTGGTTTATTTGGTGATACAAGCATGAAAATTTGAATGAGCAGTCTCTGATGGTCACTAGACAATAAGCCACCCACAGCTACTTAAAATTTCAATATGGCGGCCATTTTTTAAGATGGCCGACACCTTAGTGGAGCAGTTAAGTGATATAGTGGTTTATTTGGTGATACAATCATGAAAATTTGAATGAGCAGTGATGGTCACTAGACAATAAGCCACCCACAGCTACTTGAAATTTCAAGATGGTGGCCATTTTTCAAGATGGCCACCACCTAAGTGGAGCAATTAGACTAAAGAAATCATTTAGTTGGTGATACAAGCCCATGGGACCCTGGAACCCTGTCCCATGGGACCCAGCTGAGGCTAATAATAACTAAGTTAAAACTTTTTTAATGAAACACTCAAAAACAATTCTGTTGCTTTGAAGTTTTCAATTTAATTCATAAAATGTGTTTCTTGGAGTTGAAAACAACAGGGGATATGAGAGCATTTTGTTCCAAGAGTATTTGTCTGTTAGATTCAATTTCAGGTATTTTCTGCAGCCTCGAAGCATCTGTCAGTCATCAGATGGAAACAGGCCTGGACCCCTGTGATGTGTGCCATCAGTGCGAGATCAATGATCAAAACACAAAGACAATGTAGTATCACATTCTCAACTTTAAGGAAGAAGGGTCATATTTATACAAGATAAAGCAGAATCATCCACAATGCAGGCCATCCAATCATATGATAGAACTGAAAGATCAACCCCATACAGAGTATTAATAATATAATAACAAGCAAGGTCAGAAGTTCAAATGTATGTGTGCGTCTTGAGTTTGAGTGTACGAGTCTACATAACATAAAGAAGGTACACCAGGGCAGTCTTACACAAGAATAATTAAAAGTGGAGCCTGAATATTATAATTTTCTTACAATTGTTCTTGTGAAAAGAAATGGGGCTCTCATGACACGCATCGAAACACCATTTTCCTCATGTTGCCCTAGAGATTTTGAGGACACCAATGACAAGATAATCCAACAATTCATTTTTAATTACATCTTAATAATGCAATACCCAAAATACTGAAACCTAATGTTATACTAGATGCAGTATTTGTTTAAAGAAACTATATTACTTTGTTAATATTACCAGCCAATCAGATTTCTCACTGACTAGTTTATTAAAAGCAAATATGACTTAAAAAAATATATGATCTACAATGTGTGGCAAAAATATGCTGTAGGCCTACATGTTATAGCCTTGTACTGTATATACAAAGTGTTTCAGGTCATACAATATTTACTGGACTTTATTTGTGTGTTTATACTGATGTATGATCTTCAAATGTTTATACAAGTTCTCCCAAAGAGTTCTCCCAAAGAGAGATTTAATGTACACTATGAACATTGCAGAATTGCAATTGTCAGATTAAAGTATATTATTGGCATGCTTGTGATTGGCAAACAGGTGCGAGGGAGAGTCAACTGGAGTTTCGACGGATGGGAAAGGATTCAAATTTAGGAGCTTTCAATTGGCGGATGTTTTTCTCTAGCGGCCGATTTCTGACCAACGAAATAACAAAACCAGAGCAGAGCAATCAAGCCCCCTGAAATTAACATGATCTTTCAATAAACACCCAGACTACAATAATGTTGTGCAGTGCAATTGCACGCTGTTGCTTAAAACAAAGCAGTATTAAACATTCTTTTTGCAATATTTAGTCAAAACAATAAGAATAACGATGTTTTTCACAAATGAAAAAAAGTTCTGGCTACGCCCCTGCGTATGAAGTCCAGAAAAAGAGTTACACCAAAATACAAGTTCATGGTTTTTCGTGTTGCCTTTTTAGAGCCGATCTGGCCACACCCACCGGCAGCGCGAATGAGTCACATGGAAATAACCTGACATAAGGGTGACGTACCAGCAAAATCGTCTCAGGTTACGTATGTAACCCTGGTTCCCTGATAGGGAACGAGACACTGTATTTGAGACACGGTGGGAACGCTCTGCGTGATTACGTTGTGAAGCACATGCAAAAAAGCCCGAAACGTCATAGGTGACAAGATAGATCAGGAATTATAAAGCACCCCTGAATTCAGACCGCGACAGCTTCTGAAAGACCTGAAGTAAGTAGATCACGGCACACACGAAATATGGCAGATAAACGCAGCGTCTTGTTCCCTATCAGGGAACCAGGGTTACACACGTAACCTGAGACGTTCCCTTTCAAGGGAACTCGAGCTGCATTTGAGACGCGGTGGGAACCCCATACCCACTATGCCATAGTGACAATTGGCCGTTCTGTGTGAAAGTCCTTGTGCACACTAAGAAGCAAGCAACCTCGCCCCTGGAGTAGAGAGGTCAAGGTCATAAAACCTGACAAATGTATGTAGAGAGGACCATCCTGGTGCATTACAGATATCAAAGTGGGGAACACCCGAAATTAAGGCTATAGAGGCCACCATACTCCTTGTAGAATGGGCTCATACAGCTATAGGTGAAGGTTGACCGGGCTCTTTATAAGCCAATGATATAGCCTCGACTATCC